TTTTTTTTTTTTTTTTAACCGAACCACTAGTTTGGATATGGAGGAACTTGTTGCATTAGAATTAAATTTATATTTTTGTGGCTAGTGTGATATTTTTGAGAGAGAGAAAGACAGTTCTCAAGGAAGTGGACGATTAAGAACAACAGTGGAAAGTTACCTGTTTATGACAAAGGTGAGATGTGAGCAAAGATTTAGATTCCCTTTTTTAAGCTATAGGAGCAGCTCACGGAGCTGGCAGGTTGGGTGTCAGAACTGAGCTCTGTGCCTGTGTCTGCTCATGTCCTGCCACTCCCTAGAGAAGCAGAGGGTGAATGGTGTGTGGGAAATACGGCAGGAGGATTAGAGACATGTTTCTTCTTGTGCCTCCTTGCAGGCTGTGCCCCATCCTGGAGCAGGGCCCTGTGTTCCCTTCTCATTCTTCAGCTGTCCCCAGAAGAACCTGAGCAGCCTTTCTCTACCTTTGTCTCCTGTCCACCATGTGGAAACAGCTCTACAACCTTGTCCCTTCTCTTAGTAGAGGAGTAAAATGTCATAAGTCAGTGTTCATGAGTCCTACAAATAAACTCTGTAAAAACACGCTATTACAGTTAAGACTTTTAAAAGTGTGAAGTGGTACCTTAGTACACATTCTGTAGTACTTTTCTTGTTTGAGACAGGGTCTTTCTGTGGAGCCTAGGCTGGCCCAGAACTCACTCTGAGCCCGGATCAGGTGCACCACGGTACTCAGCAGGTAGTTGTTTCCGTACAGTGGCTGCTGAGGGAGGCCTGGGTCCTGATGCAGTGGTGCCTGGCTGGGCTTGGGCAGCAGCCCTGGGGAGACTCTCCAAGCTACTCACCCGCCATGTGGCCTTGGGCAAATGACTTCTAAGCCTGGGTTATTTTCCTCCTGGAAACACGTGGCTATGCCTGCCTCCCAGGGCGGCAGTAAGGGTTATCTGTGATAAGCCGTGTCTGGTCCTGTCCAGGACAGCAGCGTATGGGATAGAGTGGGCGGGCATTCACCCTTCCCTTCATTTAGGTCATGTTGGGTCAGGAGCTGGGAGTGAGGATAAGGTTGTAGGCCTGAGAGAAGGTTACAGAGTCTAAGGCAGAGCCAGAATGGGATGAGAAATACCTGTTTTCGGGGGCTGGACTATTTATATATGTATTTGGTACAGGGTCTCGCTGCGCGGCTCAGACTTACAGTGATCCTCCTGTTTTTAGCCTCCTGAGTGCTAGGATTACAGGCCTGCACCACCACACTTGGATTCAGTGGCCTGCTCAGCATGCCCAAGGGTGGGGCCTGTGCAGGGATTGAACTCTGGTCCCTGCACTTGCCTAAGCAGGTGTTTAATCCACTGAGCTATCTTGCTGGCCCTCTGACTTTAAATTCTTCTGTGATTTATTATTCATTTTGGGGCTTTGGGGATTCAATCCAGGTCTTCATATGTTCTAGGCTAGTCCATCCTAGGCCCTAAATTGTATTGGCAGAACCAGGGATTGAACTCACACCTCTGCGCTTGTCAGGCAAGTGCTTATTCCACTGAGCCATCTCCCCGGCCCCTAAATTCTTTTCTTTACTGGTCCAGATACCTGCTAATCAGTGGAAGTTAAAAACATTCAAAAGCCAGGTGCAGGGGCTGGGGAGATGGCTCAGTAGAATAAGCGCTTGCCTGGCAAGTGCAAGGGTCTGAGTTCAATCCCCGGTTCTGCAAAAAAAAAAAAAAAAGCAAGCCAGGTGCATTGGTGGACACTTATAATCCTAGGATTTGGGAGGCAGGAGGATAAAGAGTTTCAGGCCAGCTTGGACTACATAGTGAGTTCAAGCCTTTCTCAAAAACAAAAGATGTAATTCACCTGAGCATATGTAGAAAAAGTGCTTTTTTTAGCGTGGAAGGCTTTGACCAGGTACAGTGGGCCCTGGAGAGTACAGCCACGCGTCCTTCCGGCAGACACCCTGGCAGGGGCCTTGCCAGTGGCTCCCCTTCCCAGCCCACATACCTGTGGCCTCAGGGCTCCCAGCCCTGTGGTTTCTGCCCTGCTCTCAGTGTACTCCAGGGAAGAAGTGTGGGTGGAGGCTGTTTAACGTTCTTGCCCATCTCTTTAGCCCTCTCCAGAGTACTGGTTTCCTGTTTGGCTTGCATTTTGTGCACTCCCAGGGCTCAGATTACAGATGGAGCTGCCCCCAGAGAGCCATTCCAAGGAGAAGCCCCAGCCTGGAGCCAGCCTCTGCAGTGTCTCAGTAGCCACCCCCCCACAGCCTTTGTTTCTCCAGCCCACGCTGTTTTGGTAGTAAGGTGACCAGAGCCTGACCACCTATGCCTGATTCTTGCTTGCTGTGGAATCTTAGCAAGTTACT